AAAAAAAAAACAAAAAACAAAACAAAAACATCTTGAAAAAGAAAAACTTTCTTTTCTTAAGAATTATGTTAATTTTGTTTATTTATTTATTTATATTTGACCAGAGAGAGACACAGAGTTAGAAAGAGAAAGTGCGAAAGCAAGCCATCAGGTCCAGGACTTAAACCACGGTTGGCCACATGGGAGTGGCCAGCGCCTTAAACACCATGCCAACTGCAGGTCCCAAGAAAAACTTCCTTACAAAAAAAAACCAGGGTGCATATGTGTTCATGCCCAAAATCCCAGGAGTAGAGTGGAGAAGGGATTACAGTGTGGCCCTCCCCCGCAGGGGTGATTGCTCACTCTCTCCAGCGAGTATATGTGCCCAAAGGCTAAAAGAAAAATTTCTAATTTGTGTTATTCCTTAGAAAAGTTTGCATTCCAATATTACTTGGGCAATTCAAAAATCAATTAAATGACTATAAAGTCATTTCGCTCTCACACAAACAGTGCTTCCAGCCAATGAAGCTCTGTTCAAGCAGATGGGATAATGGGCCCAGCAGACAGGAGGTCACGGGCTCCTCACAACGCTGTGACTGCGAACCAGGCGTCCCACGTGTGGATGCAGAAAGGAGGCTGAGGCTGAGTGACTCCACGGTGGTGGAGGTGTAGGAGCTGGGGAGCCAGGATTCAAGCCCACTGTGTTACCCTGCCTCTCCTGTAATACAGTCATTGTAGAAAATGATACACGATTGAAACACAGAAATCGTTACCCTCCTCTCCAGAGATAACCTCTCCGCAATATTTCCTTCCCGTCATCTGAGCTCTGGCTCAGCCAGAGACTATGAAGCTAGAAGATAGCCATGGTACTGGGCATTTTATTTCTTTTTAAAAAATTATTTGATTTAGCCTTGGGAACCAGCAGTTAGCATAATGGCTATGTCGCTGGACTCCCACATAGTGGACCGCGGTTCGCATCCCGGACCCGGTGGCTTAAAACTCACGTTGGGTGCGTGTGCGTGTGTGCCCAAGATCCCAAGAGGAGAATGGAGGAGAAGGGATCGCGGCATGAGCATCCTCCCTGGGGGGTGATTTCTCAATTTCTGTCTCTATGTCTCTGTCGGTCTGGTGAGCGCACGCACCCTATAGCAAAAACCTCTCCAAAAAAAAAAATTATTTGATTTAGCCTTATGTATCCATTTATTTAAGTTTGACCCGAGAGGGACAGAGTGTGAGAGAAAGAGAAACTGAGAAAATAAGCCACCAGGTCTGGGAATCGAACCATGGTCAGTCGTGGGAATCCAGCGCCCTTAACCACCATGCCACCTGCCAGCCCCAGTACTGGGTGTTTTCACCAGTATCACACTACGCTTTTTCCCAAGTTACTTTTTTTTTTTTTTTTTTGAGAGAAGTTTTTGTTATAGGGCACGTGCACTCACCAGAGAGACAGAAAGTGAGAAATCACCCCCCCCACCCAGGGGATGGCCACGCCTCAATCTCTTCTCCTCCATGCTCTGCTCAGGATTTTGGGCACGCACGCACATGGCACCAGAGTGAGTTTTAAGCCACCAGATCCAGGACTCTAACGGTGGCTGACCATGCAGGGGGTCCAGCAACATAACCATTCCACCATCTGATGGTCCCCCAAGTTATGTTCAAAATGCCAAAACTGGCTTCACTGGCGGCGTAATCTGCGCCCTACGACTCTCCCACAGCCTTGCTTGGGCTTTCCTCCTCGCCTGGTTTTCAGATGGGGTGGCAGGAGGCAGCCCAGCCAAAGCCATCAGTGTGGCTTTCTCCCTGTGAGCCCAGGTTCCGCCGACTCAGGAGGGTCAAAGCAGGGCCAAAGGGTGCTGGCAGCACCGTGCCCTCCCGCCCCACAGGTGGGGAGGGATGGAGAAGCAGGACCAGAGGGCAGCCTTTAGCCCTCCCGCCCCCACAGGTGGGAGGGATGGAGAAGCAGGATCAGAGGGCAGCCTTTAGCCCTCCCTTGCCCACGGGCAGTGTGCCCGGCTCTGCGGGAGCCTCTGGAGAGACTGCCTGGCACCCAGCGGGCACTCTGAGTAGCATGTACCCCAAGAGCATAAACTCACCTCTG